TTGAGGCTGGGAGATAGCTGTGCAACCTGGAAAGTTACAGTGCAGAGTGACAGTGACATCCGGTCCCATGGAAACGAAGAAGTTGCTCCCATCTCAGAAATGTACCATTGCAGAGCAGCTGGAGGGCTGGAGAAGACACTGCAAGTCTCACACAGCCAGCCCTGCTGAGAACAGATGCTGGTGGCTCACCAGCCTTCGTCCAGCTCTAAGTTTCAAAGGCACTAGCTGTGTTCCCCGTGTTTTGCCCATGTATTTGACGATCGGGGAGGCATTTGGCCCCATTAACCTTTCAGTGGTATGAAAACTGCAAAGCAAAAGGACAGCTGGAATTCTTCCTCCCATACACACTGACCTATGGCAAAGCCATCTGAACACACGGGTGTGTGGAGAAGTGGTGAGGGCTGACCCAGCTGACACTCAGAGGAATTGCTCAGGATACAGATGGACCTGCTGGAGTGGGTCCAGAGGAGGGCACAAAGATGATCAGAGGGCTGGAGCAACTCTCCTATGAAGACAGGCTGAGAGAGCTAGGCTTGCTCTCCAGGGAGACCTTACAGCACCTTCCAGCACCTAAAGGGGTTCCAAAAGAGATGGAAAGGGACTTCTTACAAGGGCACATAGTGATGGGACAAGGGGGAAAGGTTTTAAACTAAAAGATCAGATATAAAGAAGTTTTTTGCAATGAATTGGTGAAACACTGGAACAGGTTGCCCAGAGAGGTGGCACATGCCCCATCTCTGGAAGTGTTCAGGGTCAAGTTGGATGGGGCTTTGAGCAACATATTCTAGTTGAAGATGTCCCTGCTCATTGCAGGGGGTTGGACTATATGGCCTTTAAAGGTCCCTTCCAACCTACTCACTTCACTATTCTATGATTCTGTGATACCTGCAGGAAGTAAATTTCTAGCCCTTACTTTCTGGTAGCATTTATATTCTTGGGAAGACTGTGGTGTTATTGTTCAAATCGACAAGCTGGGGAAGGAGACCAGGTGTGCTGCAGCCAACACCAGCCAGCGGCCGGGCTGTGCCCTGCTCTCACCCTGCCATCGTGCTCCTGCTCAGCCTGCCCTGCTCCAGCAATGCAGAGGGAACATGGTGTGCCTGGACAGGGCCATAAATCCTACTGGAGGAGTCTCAGCTGTGAAATGAACTAGATCACATGTCCAGAGAAGGAAGTTTCTAACAATAAGCCAAAGTAGTGTTGCTATTGAGGAAGCACATACGGAGATAACAGAAACACAAGCTCCTTTGAGGAGCCATCTTCACTTGTGCTGCAGTGTTTGGAAGCGTTGAACTGCAAGGGAAAGAGGAAATCAAACAAAAGAAGTAGGACATAATGTAGAAAAATAAATATGCATCTCAGAACAATTTCAATCTACCCATTATTCGAATTGTCAAGATCCAGAACAGATGTGTTGACTCAGCTTTAACAATGTAAAAGTGTGGCCTCCTTGGCTAGGTTCAGCTGTCCAAATAAAGGCAAGTGGTGCTCTCTGAGGTGACCATGATATCCAGTCTTGCCTTGGCTGGCCTCTCTGGAAGGGGACAGGTTTATCCTGGGTCCTGTGTCGGATCTGCCAGACCCACACAGATGTCTAGGTGCCCTAAGGTGGCTGGATGGGCACTATGTACCCATGTGCACACGAGGAAATGGAGAAACTGGACCAAACCCATCTTCCAGGCTCTCTGTGCAGTAACTGAGAGGTGTGTGTGCCTTCAACACTGGTGGTAGAGAAATCTCCCCTCAGAGGTGCATTTCTCTTCACAGAGACTATTAAAAAATAGTTGAAAATTAACTTGCACTGTATGTGTCCCTCCTTGAAAGTTAAAGACACTTCAGTTATTCCCTTCCTTAGTCGTGCAAACATGTTCCCCCAACACCTCCCTTTGGGGTCTTTGTAGACTCAGTGGGAAACAAAGGGCCCAGAAATACCACACCACCAGACTCCTGATAGGTGATGACTTTGCCTTGCTCTGGGACACTGCTCAGCTGGTGGCCTGGTCAGGCCTTGCAGCTCTGCCATACCATGGCCAGCTCAGCCTGGTCTGGGGGACATGACAAGCAGTGAAAGGACACAGACCAGCACGGCTGCACAGCAGATGGAAAAAGGCCCCCGAACCAGCAGCTTTCCCAAACCACATCTCACTGGGGTACTTGCACCAGGGGCTGCTCCTCCCCCACCCCAACCCTTCTGGGGTACAAAATGTCACGAGAAAGGTCTGGTATTGTCTTTTTATCTTATTTTTGTTCACACCCCCTGAGGGAGTGTTAGCACATTGCAATTGCTTTTCCCTATTCTTCTGTCATCTGTGCATATTTCCATGACACACTTTCCCTGAGGCCATCAGACCCAGCTGCCAGCCCTGGGGCTTCTCCACCTGGCTAGATGTAATGAGCAATGGAGAGAGGACATTTGCAGAGGATAAGACACTTGGATTTTACAGAAAAAGGGTATGCTCAGAAAACTGCAGTGTTAGTCCTATTCACAGGTTGCAAATGCTTGCAGAGAGCAGCAGGAAGGCTGGGAAGAGCCTAGGGAAGACAGATTGAGCTTTGCCCTGGCAGAGGTTGGCCAGCAGGTCTATGTGGTTGTGCAGTTCCAAATCTTGGTCCTTTCCAATAGCACGTCAGATAACCCCACGTTTCAGCGGTGATTGCCACTGTGGTGACATCTGGTCCAAGAGCAAGGAGCTGCTGATTTATGGCCATTTCATTCATGAAGGGGCTGTCACCTTCCCTCCATCTGCATTTGTGAAGACTCTGATGGAATGCATTCAGCAAGAGACACGGACCTTTCCTAATGGTGTCAAGAGAAAATATTTTCCAGATCCTATGCAGCTCCATCTTTATGTCTCTGATTCTTCTGAGATAAGGAAAACGTGGATCCAAACTCTCACCCTCACAAAGCAAGGAGAGAACTGAACCCAGACCACCTGCATGCCAGGAGAGTGCTCCATGGACTGGTGTGTTATGACAAAAGTGGGTGCCACCCTAAACCACTGTAGGTGGACAAACCCAAACCTGCTACCGTGGATAAATTATGCTCCAAAGACACATAACAAAACATGTCTGGAGATCCAGTCTGGATCTCAGATCATGTCTGAAGCCTCAGCAGGCTCAGGAGACCAGATAGACTGAGTTTCTCCCATAGGACATCTGTGGGCCCATCCAGAAGAGATCCAATCTCTTGGGCAATAGAAATTAGGTATCTCCAGAGTGTATTTGTGTTCAGAACGAGACAGCAGCCCAAGCAGAGAGCTGGGGTGCCTGGCAGCACAGTGCTGGACTAATTTCTTCACATGTCATGATTCAAGCTCTGAAACCTCATTTAAATCTAGTCTCCAGTTATGGATCTCTTCCAGGTCCTGCCCTGCTGCTTCCTGTGCTGGATGGTGACATACTGGTGCATTCTGTATCCTGCACACTTTCTGCATTTTACAGGAATTCACCACCAACATCAGAAGCAAAAATAAAGCTAACCAAAGATGTCTGCAACAAGAAATATTTTGGCTTTGTAGGTGCAAACACATGGCTGAAATGAGTAAATTAGGGGATCTTCCAGCTGAGCTGTTCTCCTGTGTGTGTGCATGCACATGTGCTTGCATCTGCATTTTTACTTGAACTGTTGTCATCTTCACTAAATATTTTACTATGTTCAAAAGCATATTTTTAAAGGGCTTTCAACAGTAGGAAACAACACATGGATTTTTATTCCCCTGCTGCACTAAGAATAATTCACTTGTCAGATGCCACACTGCTCTCTTCATCAGCTCATTCTGCAAATAGAAGAAACCACATCCTATGCTTACAGAAAATCCCTGAGTCACCACTCTATGTTCTGATCCATCTTCTCCATGTTTGAGCAATGACAAGCTGGGGGCCTTGGACTGCTCAAGGATTTATGCCATCAGGTATAGTTAGCAGAATGTAAAGCTTAGAGATATAATTAACAAAACATTTATCAATTGCCACTACTGCTCCTACCCAAGTGGTGCCTCTATAGACTGTGCTGAGATGGTGCATATCCCTGTTTCAGGCAGAGCAGTTGTGACCTTACACTGACATCCTATAGTGAAGGCTGTGTCTGTCACAGGCACTGGCCCAGCACTGTGGCACTTACAGGCTTTCCTCTGCTCACCTCATCACAGGCATCTACAGTCCCACAGACACCTGTGGTGGCATTCCTCTCACCTAACTGTGAGGAACTGTAGGTCTGTACACCTAAGCTTGATATCTGGGCTCCCAGGGAGGTTCAAGGGTCTACAGTCATGGAGTCAAGACTGTAGGTTGCATGGTCAATACAGACAGGGAAGTCAGGGGCACAGTCTCTTAACAGCTACAAATGGCTGGATGACTGTAGTCCTTTGACAATGGGTAAGTTTTTATTCTGTAGACATCTAAAGCCATGGGAGTTGAACCCTGACTTCCCAAGCCCACAGACCCGACTTCATAGGGAGTCACCTCTCCTATGATCTTTGAGGCACCAAAACCCCACAGTCCTGGCTGGACCCAGCTAATTGGGTGTCATGGGGGTTATGGTCCTCAGGAGGAATTAAAGGCTAGGAATTATCTAAGGTGGGTACCATAAGCAGTACAGCCACACGTGTTGCTTTCCTTGACATAAATGCCAAGGAAGCCAACTCTACCATGAAGCCTTGAAGTCTCTTCCTATCCTGTGCTCCTCACCAATACTAGTGCCATACTCACAGTCAGAAAACAGGGGTGATGGTATGGGTAAATTCCCTGTCTTTGGCAGCACTGGCCTCCTGGCTCATGCTGGTTACTCTAGTTTTCTCCTCAGCTCCCACTAGGATCAGGGAAACTTGCCTCATTGATCTCAGTGACCACTGGATCAGACCTAATGCACATTCTTGCACAGCAGCTGGTTTTGGCCCCAGGCTGGTTGAACGTGGAATGGGCAGGATGATTGCCACATTTTGTAAAAATTACTAACGAAATGTCTGAGCATTATAATAAGTTCAACACAGAAAATCTGATATATATCTTGTTCGTCTTCATCCTTGGTGCTGGTAAGTAGCTAGCCAGGAATACAAGTTCATTTCCAAGATGTACCCCAAACCCCTTCCTCTGATGTGTGTCCAGGGTTTAAGTATGTGATTTTAAGCACTGACAGATGAGTGGGATCTCCTCTGCTGGCTTCAGGGGCGGTTGGGTCAGGCCTTGCCTCACAGGGAAGTTAAAATCCCAGTGTCTGCTCACCCTTCTTGCATGCTTCCCTGCGTTTTCCCAGGGAAGCGTGCAGAATACTTCTCCATTCTGCTAATCCTGGCTCTCTCCATCACTGGGAGGCTGCTGTGCTCTCGTGTCAGTGTGGCCTCTCAGCTGGAGCCTGGGGAGTGCAGCAGCCAATCGGGCAGCCTGGCAGCCCTGGCATCCTTCATCAATCTCCCTAAGTGTCTTCAGACTCTGTTAGGAACATCCACACCACTCCTCCTCTCTCTGCAATGACCTGAAGCTCCAGCTCTGGAAGCAGTGATCAGTGATGCATAATGCAATGCAGGGCAGCCCGGAATAATCTGGTTGGCATCCAAGGATGTATATTCACTGAGAGGCTGAGGAGTGTGTCAGCATTTAGTTTCAGTCTGGCTGCACTTTTCCTGCAGCACAGAATCACAAAGTCTCCGTCTCCTCCTCTGGATTGGGACTGATTCTTCACCGGGAGCCTCTGAAAAGACAAAGTTTTCCTCCCTTGTTATTGCTGTACCACCATAATCTACCAAGATGTGTGACTGCTTTCATCTAGTTCTTCCTAACTGGCCAGGATCTCCAGCCAGTGGTGGGCTTACATTTTCTATCATTTTCTGTATTCTGCTTCTGCTTTCCTGTGCTCTGCTCTCGCTGCGACTCAACCTCCCAGGCAAACCCTGCAGCTGCTGGGGTGTGGCTTTCTCTGATGCTGCATGAATAAGATAAGGAAAAATAGAGTTAAGAAAAGCCTGTCCTTACCTCCTCTAAACTTTCCTGCATTATGTTGAAGCTATGCTTAAAGGAACCTTTGACTCAGTAAACAAATTAAATTCAGCCGTGTCTAACTTACCTGTTTCGGGTTGCATGCCTTAATTCACGAGCTTGCCCTTCATCTCTCATAGAAATTAGGAAGCAAGTAGCAGGAGTCAGTGCATGATACAGCCCACCTGGCATTTACAATAGATAAAGCTGTGCCATGTACTGTATGTTTGCAAATTCAATGTGTCCTATGCTCTGTATCTGATCTGTTGGCTGGACAACACGGCACTCTGGGAGAAGGGCTTTTTTTCCTGGGTTTCCCTACTGCAGAGCAGAAGGAAATTAGCAATTTAACCTATTTTTTTTTTAAAGGGGAAAAGATACATATTTTAATATAAAATATCAGTGAAGCAGAACAGTGATGACTGGAGGAATGAGTCAAAGGAGTAATGAAAAACAGTTCTTAGCTGGCAGAAGAGTATCAATAAATTACAAATCTGCTCTTTAGTTTATGCAGAGATTGACCTGTTTTAAAATAAGCAACTTGTAGTCTTAAAGTTGTGTCTACAAAAATGCCAAGAATCTGAAATTTCTACAGTATCTTTTTCTCCCTAAAATATACAAAAAGCTGTGTTTATCTACATTCTGCAATAAATTTCCTCTCTATTTATTCTCGTAGAAGAAGTTATAATCTACAAAACACAGTCTGTAAACATTTTGATAGCTTAAAAGTAGATAGCTGTTTTTTTAAAAAAAAAGTCTGATTATTTCTGTTTTCTTTTGTAAATAGTTAGGATTATATTTTCCAAAACAATGGAAAGTCAGAAATTGTTTGTCAAACTCCCAGTCCTATTATTTCCTAAGTTGCCTTGTTGAAATCAAGGAGACAACTCAAGGAATAAGTCATATCTTTCCACCCAACAAAAGATACAGTCCAACCCCCGCTTGTTACCTGGTGTTTAGACTAACTAATGAATTGCTATAAGGTTATAGCAAAATGTTTTAGGACTACACTCTGACAGTATTTTAATATGATTTATTCAAAATATATTTGACATAGTTTTGGTGAAAATATTTTCTTTTATAAATGTGACTTTTCCAGTAGTATCATTTTCTTAATGTTTGTCTGCCTGCACAGATTTACTTATTTAGCAAACAAACTAGTTTTGTGGCTCTTGCGACTCTTACTATTTACCACATCTGAGACCTTCTTGGGACTTTTGGGTGCTACCTAATAGAAACAAATAAAATCAGAACACTAACAGAGCACTTCACAGAACAAACCTCCAGGCTTTCCTCACCGATCAGCAAAAAGGTTTGGATTGGATTTTTGGGGTTGTTGTTTTTGGCTAAGGAATCAAAACTCTACCACATTACGAACATGAGTTGTTATTTCTCTGGTACCAGTTTTCTGGTGGTGTGAAAGGATGCTGTCGTGGGTTACACACAAGGGGAGCATCTTCTGCACTGGGTCACGCCACAGCATCAACTGGATCCCAGTGCTTGGGAGGTGCAGAGCAGGAGCGGGACCATGGCACCTTCAGCAATGTCTGTGCTGGGAAAGGACGCGGCAGGGAAAGAAGGCTGCATGTGAAATCTGACAGGCATCTGTTTTCCAAACAGTTATTGCTGATGTTTCTTGACAATGGGTTATCTCACCCTCAGAGGTCAGGGCGTGGCAGGGAAAAGCAGCTCTGTTTTCCTCAGACAGGTAGGCTGGCTGGCTGCCCAGGCATGTGATATGGCTTTGAGAAAGGAATATCAGCATGGTGATGAGGCAGGCTCATCCCAACAAGGGTGGGGGAAACCACACCATGGATCCCACATCAAGCAGTGGATATTAAATGCCTCGTTTCCTCCACAGCATGGAAGGAAGGCTGGTTAAAAATAGGCTCATTTTGCAAGCTGCTGTCTCTGCCGGCTATATTCATCTGCCCTTGCTGTAGCTGACTGCCATGATGACACAGGTGAGAAACAGATAAACAAATATTTGCCAGTTTTCTTTATTAGCCAGGCAAGCACAGGCATGCACTTGGATCTGACATCTGGAGGATGATGGGAGAACTTTGCAGTTGTTGATGAACATGTTTTTCATGGATAATTTTTGAGTCAGAACAAGAAGTGGGAGAAGAGAACGTCTGCATCAGCAAACTGTGGCAACTGGCCCAATTCCCAAAATATAAAGGTCCTTCTAGCACAAATGTTTTCTAAATCTATTCTTTACCTTGTTTGGGGCATCATCTAAATCTTCAGAAGCTAATGGCCATTTAAAAGACCCCATTCAGTAAGATACTTGAGCTAGTGTGCAGGGCCTCTTGATTGCCACTGGATTGGAGCACAGGGTCAAAGCAAAATACGTGCCTTAGCCCTTTGCCTGAATGGGCACCTGAACCGCAAGGTTGCTGCTTCTCAGCTGTTGGGTTCATCTTTGCACTGTGTGAGAATAACAAGTGGGTTCCTGAGATCAGCTGGAGCTGTGAAAGTTCCTGAGCAGGACTCCATTGCAAGCTGTGACATCCTGAAAAACACTAAAAGTCCAGTGACATTCCTTTTTCTCTGATCTTATCTGCCATGCCAAAGGCTGGCTGTCCATCTTAAGAGCAGCTGAATATGGTACACAAATTTTGAGGATCTAAAACAAAATGCCAGCTCAGTTGCACTTTTTTTTCTTAGAAATATTTTCTCAAGCTGTTTGTCTATGAGCTGCAACACCATCTATTACAGCCCCACTATGAGACAGAGATAAACAAAACCTGTAGGAGCCAGACCCCCAGCTTGGGTGAGGAACACCCTCCCTGACTCTCAGGAGAAGCTCTGACCTGGCACACCAGCATATTTCATTTTCCCTCCTTTTACTTCTTTCAGTGAATATAATGTTAAAATGACACAAGTTGTTTCAGTTTCAGCAGACACTCACTCTCTGCCCAGTAATACTTCCCAATATCTACTCTTGTTCTACCCATGGTGACACCAAAATAACTGTGGTGCCAGCACAGACTGAAAGGGAATCTGATTCATCTGGCTCTGGCAGGGAGCTCCCTGCCAGCATCATGAATCAGGCTCAGTAAATTGCATCCCTCTGGCTTCTCTCTGTCTTCCCTCCCTCCTGACTCATCTGCTTCCCTCCAGAGTTTATATTTTTAGTTATTAGTTTCACACTTCTATTTCCAATGGGTACGCACGGGCCCTTTGGTGACTTATGAGCACAAGTGGAAAAGAAACATCGGCATGGCAGAGCCCCACAGGCAACAAAGCTTTCTTTGTCCATCCTCTGTGCAATGAAGTGTGTTGCTGTTCTCCATCTAGCTGCAAGAAACGGGGATGGTATGTACCCGTCAGAGGCACAGCACATTGTGTTTGCCACAGCTTCTGATTCATGTGAGGAACGGACATACCCCAGCAGCAAACCAAAACCAGCTGAAAAATGTTGATTTTTCTTTACTGCTGCATTTCAAAACGTCAAGAAGGAAGAAGAATCAACAGACATCTCAAGTCTGCTTTGGTAGAGTGCTCTTCCCTGAGCAATTTGAGCTTGCAATGCATTTTACCCAGTGTTTTGTGCACCATCTGTTTCTGTCCAAGGCACTCGGGCTGCAGCAGCCTCTTTTCCAGGACCCTTGTTACTGTGCAAGAGGTGGAGGAATGTGAAGCAAATGCCAGGGAGAGCCCCCACCAGCCAGGGCCTCTGGGGCTGCTGCTATTGCTCCTCGATCTGCTGAGCGCTGTCGCCAGAGATAAATGACACCCTTGCTTCAATGTGGGGACTCGCTGCCAAGACAAACAGTCAAACAAACAGCAAGGCTGGGATTGTCCATACAGAGGAGTGGCTGCAAAACAATCCTCCATCTGAGCTTGCAGCACGCATAGTCTCCCAGTGCTGGTGGCCTGTGCAGATGAAGCGTTTCCCAGAAGCTTTGTGCCTCACACCCTTGTCCCAACCACAATCCCATCCCCAGTGCATCTGTCCCGTAGCGTCTGCCAGTGCAGCCACCATGGGTAACCTGGATGTGTGGGGTGCTCAGGGCTCATTACTTAGCAGTGGGATATCCCCATGAGGTTTTTGTTGGCAGTGAGGTTGCAGGAGGGTTGTTTTCTCCCTGGTCTAACTTAGAGTGCACCTTTGGGGATGATGTGGCAGTGAAGAGGCGCAGGAGAGGGGATAACAAACAGTTCCCATGGGCAGTGTTGCTTAGAAAGAAAAGGCACAAGGGAGCTTTCTCCATCCTGGCCAGCCAGTGCTAGAGCCTGATCATTCTAGGAAGTGAAGGCCACCAACCCCTAAAACACCAAAGGAACAGCTGTGTCTCAAGGATACACCCCTGCCTTTATGGCAACACAGACAATTACATAATTCTGTTCAGTCATGAGACAGAGATGAGTTTGAAAATGCCCACCAGATCCAGATTTTTCTAGGCTTAACCCTATATGTATACTAGTGGGAGATACTATGACTAAATAGTAGTGTCGATGTACCTTGCTGGCGTAACACCCTCATTTTGTGTTGAAGTATCTTTGGGGCCATAAGAGTTGCACAACTGTAACCTTTCATTCCTGTGTCTCCATTAGTTTGTTCCTCTACTAACCCTGCCAGTCCATGTGCCTGCACAGAGCCTCACTGTGAGGAGAGCAGCCAGGTTTGAGGTTGGAGTAATTAGTCCTGGCTGGGCTTGCAGAGTTTTCTTCAGTACAATTGCACCATTAGATTTCTATCAGTGTGACTTCCTCTGTCAGAACAGGCTGTAAAAAAAAATTAAAAATAAATCTGTCTACTTGTTAGAATCACTGTGGGAGAAATATTAGTAAATTAGTGGTAGTAAATGAATTGTAATT